GCGCTGTGTCTGTGGGATTGCTATTAAAACAAGTTGAACGTATGGTACATGCGATACTCAGGAATTATAAAGAAGGTGACATTACTGCTATGACTGGATGATAAGGTAGTAAGTAGGAGCAGCTCGAGGAAGACGGGGAGCAAATCTATTTCTCTTCTCAACTGCTATATGATGATGAGTAATGAGAAAACTTGTTTTAAAACGTGTCAACTGTCAAAAATGACAAACGATGATGACAGTTGACAGGTTTATTATTTTTATAGAAAGTAGCTGTAGACATGACATACTACATTAAAATTAGTAGGTAATCAGAAACAATTTGTCACTGTATTGATTAGATGGATGGCCGAGCTCCTGATGTTAAGTGGTTACTGGAGCCCATAGGCATCTACAATGTAAATGCTGCCACCCACCTTGAGATACAAGTTCTGAGGTCTCAAGTATAGTTACAACGGCTGCCCCACCCTTCAAACCGAAACGCATTACTGCTTCACGGCAGAAATAGGCAGAGTGGTGGTACCCACCCGCGCGGACTCACAAGAGGTCCTACCACCAGTAATTACGCAAATTATAATTTTGCGGGTTTCATTTTTATTACACGATGTTATTCCTTCACCGTGGAAGTCAATCGTGAACATTTGTTGAGTACGTATTTCATTAGAAAAATTGGTACCCGCCTGCGGAATTCGAACACCGGTGCATCGCTTTAACACGAATGCACCGGACGTCTTATCCGTTAGGCCACGACGACTACTGCACCGGATTTCCCGGCAAATATGTACTTTTACCTTCATGTTTTAAGAAAAGTTGGAATACAAATAAATTAATAATGTTGTTGCAGTAAAGAAATATTTATTTAAATAAACATAATACAAAAGGCTTTAATAACGAAAGTATTTAAATTAACAAATGTAAATGACAAAGAAAACATACTTTTCTTTGCATATTATAAAATATGTCGTAGGTTAGGTTAGATTAGGTTGTAGTGGTACGCATGCGCGTGCGCTTGCACATGCGCACCACATTACTAGCACTTGCGATTTGCGTTTTGTATGCTATGCTCACATTTACTAAAACGACATGGTCATTGTGAATTCAATGTACATTTCCCTTCTTTGAAATTGTAAATGTTAGTTGAATGCATATTACCCAAGGCAAATGTGCATATTTACCGGAAAATGTGTACATTTGCCGCAATATCTACTTTTAACGTAACATGTTATTATAAATATAGCTTAATAAAATCTTATACTTACTCAAGTTAAAAATCTTCAAAACTCAATTTGATATGACTAGAATCTTTCACACTAACGCAAACAGCAGTCTGAGCCGTCGATATTTTTATCGGCATTGTGTATATTGTACTCCTTCAGTTTCCTGCCTCGCAGCTAACTCAACAAACGTCGCCTACACAAATATTTATTTGAGATGTCGTTTATCGATACGGTTACAACACTAGCGGCCAGGTGCGGCACGTGTTCGATTCGTGGTTGCTCTCTGTCGGAGTCTCAAGTAGAGCAATGTTTCACAAAAATGAACTTTCTTACAATATAGTGTGAATTCAAAACAGCTATATTGAGCACAATCTAGTACGGAATCTTAGGATTTCGGTGGCATAATTTAATTAGTTTGCTGCCTCACAAGTATTTACAATCTCAATGATGACCTGGAGCTTGACTTAGTAAGTATATACAGTCGGCATCATTGTGCTACTTCGAGACGGCGGCACGACACGAAAACCCTCTCGTTGTGGCCGTCGGAAATTACATACCCCACTATTAAGACCTGTAGACCGAATGGTAAACAGTCGACGTCGCCCTAAGCACGACATTACGGATCCTCCCGATCGATTAACGGTGCTTTTTGGTTCCTACCACAAACACCGGTCACTGTCCTCGTCGAACCCGTCGCTTGCGACGAAGGGCTCGACAAGCGAATCAACCCATAGATACAGCCCACTGAGTTTCTCGCCGGATCTTCTCAGTGGGTTGCGTTTCCGAGCCTGTGGTAGATTCTGTGAAACACTGCTCTTGCTAGGGGCAGTGTTAGCAACACCTTTGGTTTGAGCCCCGTGAGCTCACCTACACGCTAGAGTGAAGCTGAAATAGCCTCTCAAAGCTATCAGCCTAAGTAGGAGAAAAAAAAGCGGTAGGCGGCCCAAGGTAGCTTGGGTCGGCCCTTGGCATGGCTAACGTCCATGAGCCACGGTAATCACTCACCATCAGATGAACCGTATACTCATCTGTCTAGAAGGGTAATAAAAAACTCACATTAAATTGACTTTTATATCTTCCACCCACTTCTGGTTGCTGTAAGTCATAAAACTCGTCATTCTTATGACAATCCAATAATATCGTACCATTAAATTGATCCGATCGGTAATGGATGTATTTACATATGTATGCTGTTTTGTTATTATCTTAATGATTCTAAAACTCTCCAAAACATAGAAGCACTTTGATTTAAAAATAATAAATAATAGTTTAAAAAAACTAAAAAAAATACGCTTTTACTTTTACTTTTACGCTTATGGTGTCAGTAGTTATAAATATTTTATGAACAGATATGAGTAGAAGGGTTATTTTGATAATATCGGATATTTTTATTTTTTTAGTTGAATTTCAATTTGTTCACTTGTTTATTTTTAAGTATTGAATTGTCATCGGTCCTTAATAAGTATGCCAAATTTCGAGTTAATTCGACGTTTTAAAGGGGGTCAAAATCATGTTCAAAGATTCTGTTACATATTAACATACATACGTCTGAAGCTAATAAAATGGTCACTAAGAGCTTTGTCAAATTCTTACAATTTGCTTTAGACGTTATTGCCGCGAATGCATATTTCAGAAAACGCTATTAATCTGCTTTACAATCAATCTGTCAACAGATTTGTAAGAATACGTATTGTTACAATTCCAATAGGCACCGTCTTCAAAAGTAACGTGAACCTTAAATCCTAAGCAATGCAGTAGGAAGTGCAATAACAACTTAATGGAGAGACCGCGCGTAAAATTACAGATTACGCGCACGGGAACATAACAACGTTCGGTTTGCACGTCAAGAATAGGGTTGTCGCAACAACGTGTATATGGGCGCGAATACCACCATTGGCAATAATTAAGGTAGTAATATATAGTTTAGTTTATTCTATGTTAATTTATTTATTATTAGCAAGATGAAACTGTTATTCTACCATGTATACTAATATTATAAAGAGGAAAGATTTGTTTGTTTGTTTTGAATAGGCTCCGAAACTACTGGATCGATTTGGAAATTCTTTTTCCATTACAAGGCGTCATTAGCCCTGATGAACAAAGGCTACTTTTTTTTTTTTTTTTTTTTTTTTTTTTTTTTTTTTTTTTTTTTTTTTTTTTTTTTTTTTTTTTTTTTTTTTTTTTTTTTTTTTTTTTTTTTTTTTTTTTTTTTTTTTTTTTTTTTTTTTTTTTTTTTTTTTTTTTTTTTTTTTTTTTTTTTTTTTCGTGTGTTCGAACTCACACCTCATCTGGCGAGTAATAATTAAGTTCAAAAAATTGCTAAATGCTAAATACCCGATACGGGATCTCATTGTTTAATATTTATGCAATATCCGTCTTGTATTTAATATTTAGCAGACACTGTTTTGAAGTGAAAATGTTCAGAATATGATTATTGTTTATATTATCGTTTAAAAACATAAATGACTGTATAAATAATTAAATATTAATAATAATTTATATGTATAATGAAAAGTAATAAATTAATTAAGTATTGTAATTGTTATGCAAATGATGTTGGCGCCATCTTTTATTAGGCTAGATAATAACAATGTTAGTTTATATAAGTTAAAAGTAATTCATGTAAAATAAATTAATGTCAGTCATATAAAAATCACTAAAATATGTATTGTAAATATTAAGCTATATTTTGTGAATTGTTTCGCAGTATCACAAAATGGCTAATTGTGTAAGAACTAAGACGTGGCTTTTTGTAAAAAAAAAGTAATGTAAAAGTTTCATAGAATTGTATTGTATTTTAATTGTAAAAGAACTTATGCGTGAAAACCCTGGCTTAACGCCGACATGTACGACCATCGATTTTAGGGATGGCAAATCTGAGTTGGCATTAAAACCTTTCAAACGTGAATTTGTAAAGGTAGGTAGGTATATAAAGTGTTTTAATTGTTATTGTTGCGGGTGGATTGAAGAAACTGGAGCGGTTCTTGTGGAATTACGAGGCACGTGGCGCAGCTGCCTCTAACATTTGCGTAAGTCACAAAAAAAAAATGATCCACATTAGATCCACAAGGGATATAATATCTTAAAGAAAACTTGAAGTAGTAACGGTTTCTGTGTAGTTTATTTTATTTATTTATTTTTAACTTACTATACTTGACAGTTTAAAGGTGGACTTAATGCTCTCATAGACATTCTCTGATAGTCTACCTTAAGGGAGTGCAGAGATGAACCTTGGTAGGTGAAGTGTGATAGTGATAGTACAAACATATGTATAAATATAACATATATAACATTTATAGATAGAAATACACAAAATAATACATCTTATATATAAAATTCTCGTGTCACAATGTTACATTACATTTTGTTATTTTGGTCGTCTTGGGTTGTAATATAATGTCTTTCCAAACACGAATGGAGACAATGAAAGTTTTTATTTAAGACGAACACAATATATAGAAAGAAGGAGAAAGTACACAAGAAATAGATAGTCCAAGCAACACAAGCAGGTACACGAAACAAAAAGCAAAAATTATAATTCAACCCAAGACGACTAAACTGGTGACCCCGACGTGATGTATTTTTTTTTTTTTTTTTTTTTNCCTTGTAGTCGCACGGCTGGACACATCTGACGGCTTTGGTACCATGTTTGAAATGATACCAACATATGGGGTGCTGTCTGTAGTTTGACTGTGACCGGCGGCGAGATGAAGATCTGCTGCGCTGCTTCGGTCGCCGTTGTGCTCTGCTTGGGCGATGGTTGACTTGCGCGGTCAGTGCACTTACTTGTTTTGTCAACTCTGCTACCTGTCGTGTCAACTCGTCGATATGTGTAGACGTGGTAGCGCTTGCTACCTGCGGTACCGGGGTCGCGATGTCATTGACCCGGTCGGCAAGTTCCGCCAGTGCGTCGAGAGACAACGATGGCTGCGAAGCGATGATTGGCTGCAATCCAGTGGGTAGACGGCTTGTCCAAATTGTTTTGACGAAGTCCTCGGGTATTCCGGGGCCAGCGAGATGTTGCAGGTGCCGTAGGAATTGCGAAGGCTTGCGGCTTCCGAGCTGTTCGTGCATGAGCAACTGCTTAACCTTATTCTCCCGCGACACTGACAGTCTCTTGATGAGCTCATCTTTGAGTCGATTGTAGTCAGGTGGGCTGGTAAGAATGTCTTCAACTTCGGCTGCATACTGCCTGTCTAAGATACTCAAGATGTGGTAAAATTTGGTCGCATCATCGGTTATACGCATTACTGCAAATTGTCCTTCGACTTGAGCGAACCATATATCAGGTTTTTCTGGCCAAAAAGGTGGGATACGTAAATGTGAGGGTGGCGACGAAAAAGTTGTTAAGTCTGTCGCTGCGACCGGAGACGCCATTTTACCGTGTCGCCGTGGCCGCGTGTTAACTTGCGATTTAACTGTATCACTTCCACTCAAGCTGGTGACCCCGGAGAACACATTCAAGAGATGTCCAAGTTCCCACCTTTTTGGCCTGAAAAACCTGCTATATGGTTCGCTCAAGTCGAAATCTGACTTGCGAGCGCGCATCCCGTATTATCTTTTCTGTTCTACGCCTTTTATAATTTTTGCTTTTTGTTTCGTGTACCTGCTTGTGTTGCTTGGACTATCTATTTCTTGTTACTTTCTCCTTCTTTCTATATATTGTGTTCGTCTTAAATAAAAACTTTCGTTGTGCCCTTTTGTGTTTGAAAAGACATTATAATTCAACCCAAGACGACTAAAGTTATTTTTATATTCCCCCATCGCTCACAGCGCTACATGCCTCTTTCACTCCTTTACCACATCCTTACCACACACTTACAATAAGTTAGTTTTTTTTTGTACACTAGAAATTCCCTAGAAATCTTATATATGACAAAACAACGTTTGCCGGGTCAGCTAGTGTACATATAAAAATATATAAAAATAAATATCGATTAGATGACTCTGCTAACTCTCTGAGAAACAGTTCTCGAAGCCTCGTTTTTATTGTTATCGCATTATATTATAGCATTTCTTTATTTATTACACTTAATGTACATCAATGGATTAAATGCCAAAAAGTATTATCTACCATTCGCACAAGTCACACAGAAATCAACGTTGGAGGTGCATTGGTTGATAAATTAAGAGAAAAATGGATAGAATAGACGTTATACTCCAATTAGAATTTTATTTCGAATTGTACTTGTAAATTATTGATTGTACATAGTTGTACATAGTTTGATTGTACATTTGTTATACGAAAATTATAATTTTGCGGGTTTGATTTTTACTACATGATGCTATTCCTTCACTGTGGAAGTCAATCGTGAACATTTGCTAAGTACGTATTTCATTAGAAAAATTGGTACCCGCCTGCGGGATTCGAACACCGGTGCCTCGCTACATACGAATTCACCGGACGTCTTATCTTTCGGGACACGACGTTGACGCTGGTTGCTATTTTGTTAGTAGTTAATTTTTAATACGCTTTTATTAGCTTCATACATTGTCATATGTAGCTATATATTATGTATGTAACGGAATCTTTGAACATGATTTTGATCTCCTTCAAAACGTCGGATGAACTCGAAATTTAGCGAACTAATCAAGGACCGATGACAATTCAATATTTTAAACAGTCAGAGCCGTTATTTTTATAATAAATTTATTTTCTATTTTTTAGTTGGATTTTCTACCAAAGCGTTTTTTTAACATTTTTTTTTTGTATTTAATTAAGTACCTTTTTGGGATACAAGCCCCATTCACGGATTATAGCCTCCTCCAGTTTTGTCTTCTTCTTTCTGTATATATAAAACGCAGCTAACAATAAAGTAGAATGTGCAAAAACAAACATTGATTACGGGTTCTACGAGCCCTCATGTTAAATAACACTATCCTGCCTATTCCTGGCGAGCTGGTGATCGGTAGCATTTCTAGTGATGACTTAAGACCAGGTGACCCGTGCTTAGAAAAAAAACCAAGCGCAATGTAAATAGCACAATTTCCAATTGGATTTTGAATGCGCAATTATAATTTAAATGAAAATTTGGCGCGAATCTTTACAATCGCCAATAACAAAACGCAGTGATTGTAACGCGAAATAACAAAAATCGGAAAACAACAAAAGCATTTTACATCAAACCAAAAAAAAACTCATTTTTACACCGGACTACACATTGTTAGGTCCATCTGCCGCCCCTATCTGCAAATGTAATTATGTTTGTCGTTTCAATAAACCAATTATTGCCTATTCTCTATGTCATGGAATATTTGTATAGCGACTAGAGAAATTATAAAACGTACTCATAATCTATATATTAATACGTCAAGCAAAAACTTTGTATCCATTTTTACGAAAATTGCGCGGACGGAGGTGTATGAAATTACCCACACTTATAGAGAATATAGAAAAGAAGTCATCCTGAAGTAACGTTCAACTTAGCTTCAAGTTTGCGCTGTAGTAAATATCCTATAAGTCTATGCTACATTATAAGTATTATGAGAAAATATATCAAACAGATTTTCCCGGTTAATTCTTACAAAATATTAAGCTTTAAAAGTTTTATGACTTCTTTTTTTTTAATACAGGCATGTCGGCTATATAATAATATTATGTATTTTCTGTATACACCCAACATGATTGTAGACGCACTTTCAAAACTAGTCTCCATAATTTTGGAACCATATCATTTCGGAGATTCGACGCGGCCATTTTTTTTCTCCGCCATTTGTAGATTCGGTTTAATCTAACGTAAACCCGTCACAAGCGTTCTAAAACAATACACGAGCGAAACAACAGAACGATATAAAACTATAATTGTCGCAACCCGTCCACAATTTTCGTTACCATATGTCAAACGAATTTAATTGTGAATAACGAAATTGAACAATTAAGCGCAGACAAATTGTGGCCGCGTTTAAAAGTCGATCAGGGACGCGTGCGACTAATTCGATCATTAAATTGTTTAAAGCGTGCGTTACCGTTTTTTTCATAACTTAGATACCCCTATTTACCCCTATATTTACTATAAAGTCAATGATTATCTAGAAGATTGCACAAAGTGGGAATGAGTTGCTCGCTCCGGGCATTTCAATATTGTAATAATTGTTATGTTATAATTACTTATTGTAAAAATGAATATTTAAAAAAAACTAATATTTAAAATAATAAAAAAAATCTAAAATTAAAAAAAAACAAAAAAAGACATGCCCGCTGAGTTTCTTGCCAATTCTTCTCAGGACGGAGGCTAATTCTTGTGAATTGGCGGTAGTTCTTTTGACGTTCAACAAGTATGTACTTTCATTTATGTTGAATAAAACTTTTTTTGATTTGATTTCATTTGATATTAGATTAGATAGAAAAGTAGAAGGAAAACGTCCTAGAGGCCGGAGCCCCAAACGTTGGTCCGACCAGATCTCCGAGCAAACCAGCGGACCACTTAGCGCTGCACTACACCAGGCAACTGACCGGAACCGACAGAGGCTGGCAGTCGACAAGCTGAAACGGAATCACGATCCTCAGCAATGAGGGAGCGAAGGATAAGAAGAAGAAGATACCCCTGTGGACGAGCTCACAGCCCACCAGGTGTAAAGTGGTTACCAGAGCCAATAGACATCTACAACGTAAATGCCACCTACCTTGAGATATGAGTTTTAAAGTCTCAGTTTTTAAAGTACAACGTCTGCGCTACCCTTCAAATTGAAATGCATTACTAGTTCACGGTAGAAATAGGCGGGGTAGTGATACATACCCGTGCGGACTCACAAGACGTCCTACCACCAGTAATTACGCAAATTATAATTTTTCCGATTTGATTTTTATTACACAAAGCTAGTCCTTCATCGTGGTAGTCAATCGTGAATATTTGTTTAGTACGTATTTCATTAGAAAAAATTGTACTTGCCTGCGAGAAATATATATACCACAATGTTTTTGTACATCTGCCGCCCGCACCCGCATCACACCTCCGTATTAACGATCGCCCCGTGTACTCAATAATGTAATGAACACAATAAACACTCGATACGCGTAATGAATACAATATAATTTTAATAGTTGCGGGTGGTACGCGCTTGAGTTGGATGACGTACATCGACGGGTTTCGCCACGTCATTACGGATCCTCCCGATCTATTAACGGTGCTTTTAGGTACCTCAAGCACCGGTCACCGTCCTTGTCGAACCCGTCGCTTGCAACGTAGGGCTCGGCGAGTAAATTAACCCACTAAGTTTCTTGCCGGACCTTCTCAGTGGGTCGCGTTTCTGATATGGTGGTAGATTCTGCGAAGCACTGCTCTTGCTACGGACAGTGTTAGTAACACACTCGGTTTGAGCCCCATGAGCTCACCTACACGTCAAGGAGAAGCTGAAATAGCCTCCCTAGGCTATTAGCGGTAGTTTTCCAATTACAGCACAAGAGCGCATTATGCGGCATAATGCTCAACGTTGAATGTTCCAACTACAGCAACGCTTCGCACAATCGAGCACTCTCAAAAGTACTGCTCTCGCGTGATACTCGCAATTGATACCGACTCAGTGACAAAAAATTGACAAGTGTTTTTTCTTTAAGTTGGCATTGATCGAAATTTTTTTATATTATCGTTAGTAATATTATTTAATGTTGAAAAAAATTGCAAGGTTTTCGTTTCGTCGTAGTTTCTTAGAAATAATCAATGTTAATTAAAACTGTGCTACTTAGCGCACTAATTCACGTTCCAATTAAGCTCCAGCATAATTCGGCATTGTGCGTCACTGAGTCGCATTATGCTCTGTAATTGGAAAACTACCAGCATATGTAGGAGAAAAAACAGATGGGTTTCGCAAAGCAATCTTCGATTAACAAAAAACCCATCCATGGGTCAATATAAATTAAAATTTGATATGCACGTTTTGTACTGGGTTACGTATCGTATGGCTTTTGTTTATCGGTGTAAATGAAATCACGAGCGACACAAACAATAAGGTCCCTACTCACCATTATAGGGTCAATGTTAAAAACTGGACAACTTAACAGTGCATGAAAACATAAATAACATGCAAAAGCATAATATAAAAATAAATAATAGTTTAAAAAAAGTAACAAAATAAGCTTTTATAGAAAATCCAACTAAAAAATAGAAAATAAATTTGAATTAAAAATGATTTTATTGTAAAAAGCGTTATTTTTTAGTAGAACTTCAATTTTTTTTTTTTTTATTGCTTTAGATGGATGGACGAGCTCACAGCCCACCTGGTGTTAAGTGGTTACTGGAGCCCATAGACAT